GGATCTATGTGTAATTTAGATATCAGGACAAAACTGGAATTCTGTTAAAAGGAAGAAGAGATAAATGGATAGTGAGCAGGTGTCCAATTTTCCACTAAACCATCTTGTTTTCTTAACAACCAAGTTATCCTGAAAGGTCAAATTGAGTTTAGAGGAACAATTCCTCATAAAGTTTTGAGAGAAACATATTGATAGAACATTATTAGTCTGATGCTCAGTTTTCTTTAAGAAGATAATCCTGTCCAGAGAACTGTTCTCTGAAGAGCAGTCCTTATAGAAATCCTCAAGGGGCTCTGAATCTGGAGGCATTCAACTGCAAGCACCAGACTACCAGCTGCATCTGGACGTCACATTCCAGGTTTGAGACAGTGGCTCACTTTCAAGAATAGAGGCCTGTCTGTTTTTCTGTTCTTTACCCTTCTCATCCTTAAGCATATCGTATCTCATGGCTATGGTGACTTCAAGCATTACATCATCACATAACTGTCTGCCAAGGTGCCTGCTTTTTCCCAGAAGCTCCCCCATGCACTTCCTCATCTCTCACTGGTCACATGCCTACCCTTAAACCTGTTGCCATCCAGGAGAAAGGGATCTCATGCTTGGCTTTGACCAGTCTTATTTCAGGCCCTGGCAACTGGGGGAGAAGCCCACCTTCCTTAACATATTGCCAGAGCAAAATCAGACTTCCAGAAATTAAGGAAATTAAGGTTGCTATAGGAAAGGCAACAAGTAGTGTCTGCCTAAGACCAACTTGGCAGTATGTGTCCAAAGCCTCTGTTCTATTTTAATATCTATATTAGGAAAGCATTAATCTCAAGCGCAGTGTAGCTCAAATTCTGTGTGGTGAGGAATCAGCTTTGATGGTTTCAATTCACAGACTAATATTAGGAAAGCGAAATGTTAAAAAAAAGACACACTACATGGGCCCCACGTTTTTATTAAACTCAAAGGCCACAAGTTTCTCTGTCAAATTGCTATAAAAATGCCTAAATACTATTAATTTCTGTTCTCATCTCATCATGGACCAGTAACAGTTCGCAGCTCACTGGTTCACGACCCCACTTGGCAAGGCATTGTGCTGACTTCACACTGCTGGCCTCTCCTGTCTGCCTTTGATTCACCTACAGCAAGCTGTTCTGTTACCAGAATGCCCTGTGTTTTTGTTTTACTTCTGGACTTGACTTCACGTTCTGTTCTCCCTTCCTGGAATGCCTTACCCTGGCTGGGGAACACCTACTCATCTTTTTAGACCAGCTTAAATGTCACCTTCCTTTCGATCTTTGCTCCCCGTCAGTGCTTCCTTTGAGTCCCGAATGTACTTATTTTATTGGATTGTTGTTATTCCTAGGTCAGCTGCCCTCACCAGATCAAAAGTTCCCCGAAGGTGATAATTGTCTTGCTCATATTTCTATCTCCTGTTCTTGGAGCACAACCTTTGCCCTAAATAAATGCTTATTGATAATTGAGTCCACTCAACAAATAATGTTTCTCTCTTGTTGTTCTCCCCCAAATATTTTCTACTGTGCTTCTGCCTGCATGTGTGTGGATTTCCTTATAACGCACCATTGTGACACAAATTTTTCTTTTGTCTTCCATCAAGTCTGAGTTTAAAAACAAGATACAATTTTCCATTGTCTATTCCCATCATGGGTCCTATCCTCTATGCATCAACGTCACTGCCTCACAGACAGTGTGTGGGGTTTCTGAGCCCACAGTGCACTCCAGCAGCATTGCATGTTCCTGTAACAACACATAGAAATTCCCAAAAGTACCTACCAAGGTGGTACAGCACAGAGAACATACAATTTAGAGTCACAGTCCTTGCTCAGATACTAGCTCTGTGGCCTTGGGCAAGTTCCTTTGCTTCTCTGAACCCGTTTCTTCCACTTAAAAAAAAAATGTATGCGGTGATAAGAGGAAACAATAATTGCTTGATAAATGTTAGTCCCCTCTGCTCAGATGGGCACATGTGTGGATTGATAAGGAACACAGGCTGAGAACAGTAGCCAATGGGTTTGCCTGTCTCTTTAACGTGTTGGGGCCAGCCTGTGCTCAGGCTTGCTGAGAAAAATGACCGGCTTTGAAATTCTATCTTGGGCAGAGCATTGGTCACTTCTCTGTTCCTGTGCTTCTGATTTCCTTTCTCACAGCTGGCAGGGACTACGACATTGGCAGCCCAAGGGGTGCATGACTAAGGTGGAGCGGGGAGCAGCTGCTGCCTGTTAGAAAGTGGGTGGTTGGGGTGGGAGGCAGGCATACAAGCAGCATGTGGAAATTCCCCCAACTCCACCACTCCAATGACATCACGGATCTAAACCATTGCTGCGAGAGGGACTCCAGGGCAGGCCTCTCCTTCTCCAGGCATTCTAGTTCTTCTCCTTTACCACTGATTTTCCATCCTTTTGGCTTTAGAAAGGAGTATTGGAATATGATGCACATATTGTTGATTTTAATTAAATAAGAAAAAAACTGATGTCCTTCAACATACCATGCATTTCCGCACTTCTGTGCCTCACTTTTGTTGTTCTCACCACTAGAAACACTTCTCCCTCTACCTACCTGAGTAATTCAACCCTTACACCTGGAATCAATTGTTAGCTCTTATATCTTCCTTCCTGTATGCCACCCTTCTAGACTGCTACCTCTCTTTACATTTAACCCATTTATTATGCATCACACATTGAATTGCCCTTGTTTTTTTTTTTTTTTTCCAATTACAGTTGACATTCAGTATTATTCTGTATTAGTTTCAGGCATACAGCATAGTGGTTAGACAATCGTACTTTACAGAGTGGTCCCCTCAATATTTTCAGTACCCATCTGGCACCATACAGAGTTATTATAATACTATAGACTGGGTTCACGAAATTTGTGCACTTGCCAGGGAGGGGAGGGGGACTCAGCCTGGCCTGCGCCCTCTCGCAGGCTGGGAGCCCTCGGGAGATGTCCAACTGATGGCTTAGGCCCACTCCCTGCAGTTGGACATCCTTAGCACTGCCGTGGAGGTGAGAGAGGCTCCCGCCACTGCCACTGTGCTCGCCAGCCGTGAGTCCAGCTTCTGCCCCCTGCTGGTCAGTGCACGTCATAGCGGCTGGTTGTTCCGCTGTTCAGTTGATTTGCATATTAGCCTTTTATTATTCAGTATAGGATTATTAACTATGTTCCCTGTGCTGTCCTTTATATCCCCATGACTATTTTGTAACTACCAATTTGTACTTCTCAATCCCTTCTCCTTTTTCATCCAGCTCCCCATCCCCTTTCCCTCTGGCAACCATCAGTCTGTTCTCTGTATCAATGAATCTGTTTCTATTTTGTTTGTTTGTCTAGATGGTTCTTAGATTCCACATATAAGGGAAATCATATGGTATTTATTTTTCCCTATCTGTCTTATTTAACTTAGCATAATACTCTCTAGGTCCACCCATGCTGTCGGAAATGGTTAAGATTTCATTCTTTCTTATGGCCAAGAAACATTCCATTATATATATGTACCATAGTTTTTTTATTCACTTGTCTATTGATGAATCACCCTTGCTTTTTTTAAAAAATGTATTTTATTGATTTTTTTACAGAGAGGAAGGGAGAGGAATAGACGGTTAGAAACATCGATGAGAGAGAAACATCGATCAGCTGCCTCCTGCACATCCCCCACTGGGGATGTGCCCGCAACCAAGGTACATGCCCTTGACCGAATCGAACCCAGGACGCTTGAGTCCGCAAGCTGACACCCTTGCTTTTGAGGTATCTTTCCCTCGATAGAGTGACAGCTCTTGAGAATCTTATAGTAAGTACTCATGTTGAGTTGAAAACCTCTATTCCTCAGCATATTTGCCCATTTCTAATTCCTCACTAATTATGGCTAGGTTATTAGCAGTATAATAAAAACCCATGTGGATTGAGCATTTGAATAGTTCTGGAAGATACTGGGTCCTTCAGTCCCCAGCCCCTACCTCAGGGGCAATAGGATTAATGGAGGTAAAGGTTAACCAGAAGCAAGGGGGTCATTTGGAATCAAGGAGTCATTTGGAAGCCAGAGGGGTATTTCTTAGTATAATGTTTAAATACTCCAGATTTACTCCTTGCTGACTCAACGTAGAGCCCAGGTTCATCCAGAAGTTCCTTTGGCATTATCAGACTTCTTGGGGTGAGTGTGGGGTTGGGAGTCATAGATCTAGTCCTGCGTTTTCACTTATTGTGCAAACTCTGTGAGACACAGCAGTGTGATAGACTTGGGTTCAAATCCTGATTCTGCCACTTACATGCTCCTTGTAGGAACTTGTGACCTCTCTGAGCCTCAGTTTCTCTCAGAGCTAGGAGGAGGATAATATTTTTGGGGTTGTTGTAATGACGAAATAACATTTGTGTAAAGTACATAATCTAGGTCTGGCACGCCGCTGGTATTTAACAGGTGGTAGTTATTATCTTTGCAAATGCCGGGGTGGGTAGGGTGAGGGTGTGAACAGGGTACTACCATTGCATTACCTATAACTGATTCAGATGTACACAGGGGAAAGTCAGCGTAGAACTCAACCTGTCAAATAAATGCCTAGTGATATTTACAATGTGACTTAATAAAGGCCTTCAAGGGTTTTCCAGTTCTCACGGTTAGGATATTTTTTCTGGTAATAGTCCCACACTTTCCTACTTTGATGTGTCCTCCTACCTCAAGGGAGCCCCTGGCCCTCAGCACAGGGAGCCCTGGACAGTGTCCTGCCTGAGTTGTGGTGGTGAATTCTGTGCTCACTTTTCCTGTGTTCCCTTGCCTGCCTCTTGCCCTGAGATCTTATCTTGTCCCCTGGGGAGTTATGTTAAGTGCTCTGCCAGCCCTGTGTGCCTGGCCTGTCTTTTCTCACTGGCAGTACCTCTTGTGTTCCAATTCCAAACATGGTATCCATCTGGGGTCACCCTTTCTTCCGGTGCCAAGAGAGACACATTCCAAATGGAACACAAGTGCGCCTCCTGTGCTGGCCGCTCCTCACTCTGTTTGGAGAAAACAGAGAGCAGGCTGTGGCCCCTTTATCATCGCTCACTGCGGAAGTGTTCAGGCCAACAGTCCTGTCCTTTGCTCAGGACAGTTTAGGTTTTCTGCTCAGAGCCAAATGTGAAGACCGGCCTAAGGAATCTGGAGCCAAGGAAGCTGGCCAGAGCTCTGCCCGAGGGCCAGCGCCTGGCCGAGGGAGAGGATAAAAAGGTTCAAACTTCTCCATAAAGTGTGCTATGTCCTGCCAGTCGTTACCAAAGCTACCAGAAGCTTTGCTCCTAGGACAAGTGGAGTTGGTGGTGAGAAGCCAGAGGTGAGAAGACACATAAGAGGACAGACTACTCCATTGTCAGAATTTCCTATGTGGGAGAATCCTAGAGCACGACGAGACTTTGAGACGCCCCGAAGATGAGCGCCAACAGCAGCACGCTGGGCCAGCGTCTCTGGCAGGGGCCGGTGTGCGCTGGCTGGAAGCAGGATATGGAAGGGGCCCTCTACCACCTGGCGAACTGCGTCTTGCTCCTGGGCTTCATGGGGGGCAGTGGGGTATACGGATGCTTCTATCTCTTTGGCTTCCTGGGCACCGGCTACATGTGCTCCGTGCTGTGGGGCTGGTTCAATGCCTGCGGCCTGGACGTTGTCATCTGGAACTTCCTGCTGGCAGTGGCCTGCCTGCTCCAGCTGGCACACCTGGTCTACCGCCTGCGCAAGGACAGCCTCCCTGAGGAGTTCGAGCTCCTCTACAGGACGCTGTGCGTGCCCCTGCAGGTGCCCATGGAGGCGTACAAGGAGATCGTTCGCTGCTGCGAGGAGCAGGTCTTGACTCTGGCCATTGAGCAGACGTACGCTGTGGAGGGCGAGACGCCCATCAACCGCCTGTCCCTGCTGCTCTCTGGCCGGTAAGCTACCCTGTCACTGCCCACGCTTCTTGTTTCCCAGTAAATCTTTTTCCACTTCGTGTCCCCTTCCATTAAGGGAAGGATGTGACACGTCAAACAAACCAAAATAGATTTTTCTAAGCATGGGTTTGCTTCCTCTTTCTTAACATTTTCCCAGAGAAAACTAGATCATGAGGTATCTTCTTGGTTGGCAGGAAAGGTTGTGTGTGCACTTGCTACTGGGAGGTGTCTAATGCTTATCCCTAAGCTGCAGCAATATCTCTGTAAGTTTTGGAAAACTGAATATTTCAATAAGATTAATTTGTTCTTCCCATGTCCATTCAATATTTGCCAAGTGCCAACTATGTGCAGGGACCAGTGCCCAAACAGAGGGTTTTCCTATAGCCCCTGTTCCCTGCCAGGGCATCAAGGATATTGGGGATACCCTGAACAGACTGTGGAAAAGCCAGTCCGTACACACCCAAGCATGGAAAGGGAGTACCCCTTGCCCACTTACCCATTCCCAGTAGTTCTAGTGAGTTTCTTACAGGCCAGGAAGCTGACTTGTAAATCTGAAGACCAGACAGTGAGGAGAGAGTCGGATGCCCACACAGGTTTCATTGAGGATTTGGTGTGGACACGTGGCTGACTCCGTTTAAGAAGGCTGACAATCAGACATGAGCAGAAATGGTTTTAGTTAGGGTCAGTGTATGCCCAATCAGCTGCATGGAGTGCTGGCCATTGGCCGGTGGCTTCTGAACAAATACACGGGGGTTTGTGCTGCACTCTTGATAGGCAGCTGTGGAGTCTTTGAAATATTGCCTTCGTGGGACTTGATGTGGGGCTGAGCAGCAACCCTGGTGCTCTGGGGCTGGCTCTGTGGAAAGCCACTGAAGTATTTCAAAAGGCTTTGTCTTCAGTTTCCTCCCTAGCTTCCTTGAGACCAAGAGAATGTGGTAGAAAAATAAGATAATAGTCAGAAGGCTCTATCCCAAGGGAAGAGGGGGAATGAAACCAGATAAGACTGCCAATCACACAGTGGAAAAATAGATTTTGATGATAATGGTACTACAACTACTAGTAACAATAATATCTGTTAATGTTTAGAATTGGAAGTGATATATATAAATGTGTTTGGACTCAGAGGTCCTGGGTTGAAAGCACTCTGTGGGGAGAAATTTTATGAGTGAACTAAAATATAAACAAAGGCAATTATTTGTAAACAAATACATACTTAAATACGAATACATTATGACTGTTGCCAAAATGTTTGCCACCTACAGTTCCATGCTTAAAATAAGGACAGTTTTTTAGGAAATGTGCTCATTCATGAGGTCCATGTTTTTTGCCTGCTCCTCGTTCAGAGGAGGGAATTGAGATTGGGGGAGAAATGCCCGCTTCCCATGTATGGTGCTCACTTTTGGAGTTTTGGTATTAGGGTGATGCTGGCTTCATAGAATGAGCTTGGAAGTGTTCCTTCCTCTTGAATTTTTTGTAGTAGTCTGAGGAGGATAGGTTTTAGTTCTTCCTTGAATGTTTGGTAAAACTCCCCTGTGAAGCCGTCTGGTCCTGGGCTTTTGTTTGCTGGAAGCTTTTTGATGACTGCTTCAATTTCTTCCATAGTTATTGGCTTGTTGAGATTTTTTGATTCTTCCTAATTGGAAGTGATATATATAAATGTGTTTGGACTCAGAGGTCCTGGGTTGAAAGGGCTCTGTTGGGAGAAATTTTATGAGTGAACTAAAATATAAACAAAGGCAATTATTTGTAAACAAATACATACTTAAATAACGATTACATATGACTGTTGCCAAAATGTTTGCCACCTACAGTTCCATGCTTAAAATAAGGACAGTTTTTTAGGAAATGTGCTCATTCATGAGGTCCATGTTTTTTGCCTGCTCCTCGTTCAGAGGAGGGAATTGAGATTGGGGGAGAAATGCCCGCTTCCCATGTATGGTGCTCACTTTTGGAAACATATTATGATTGTTGTATGGTTCAAGGATCTTTACTATGATGGATGGACCATGAACTTGTATAAGACCACTTCCCTGTGAAGGGGTGGTAAGGGCTTGCTCCCTCAGCGTGGCTTTTCCTAGTTTACTTAGCATCAAAGACCCACGTCAGAAATGAGAACATTTTGATTTTTATTTCTTGCTTTTCAAGGTTTGGAGTTAGAGTTTTGTATTGTTACCTTTCCATGTCACCCCATCTCAGTTTCGCTAAGTTGGAGCTGGGAGAGGAGGCTTCTAGTCTATGAGCAGGTACCGGTTTTCAGAGAAAATCCCACACCTTTTTCTGGTCATGGTGTGGCACCAACACCTCCGAGCAGCAGGCTGAAACTCATCTAGAAACCATTACTGAAACTTCAGACATCCTTTTTGTTTTATTTTAATAAAGGCAAGGAGTTCCTTTCAAGACTCAGCAAGTGAATTCCTCATAGTGCATCACCCTATAGAGCTGTGGGAGTCTCTCTCATTTAGTATTCAAAGCACAAGTCCCAACATGCCCAGCCTTCTGAGCAGGCAACTAACTGTCTAAGCCAGTGGTCGGCAAACTGCAGCTCGGGAGCCACATGTGGCTCTTTGGCCCCTTGAGTGTGGCTCTTCCATAAAATACTACATGTGGGCACGCACGTACCGTGCGATTGAAACTTCGTGGCTCATGCGCAAAAGTCGGTATTTTGTGGAAGAGCCACATTCAAGGGGCCAAAGAGCCACCCGCATGTGGCTCGCGAGCCGCAGTTTGCCAACCACTGGTCTGAGCTATTCACATAGGAGGACATTACCTGTCTGTCCAGGCGATCAAATGATAGAGGATACAGTAGTCCATGCCGGCTTTGCTCAGTGGTTAGAGTGTCGGCCCATGGACTGGAGGGTCACAGGTTTGATTCCAGTCAAGGGCACATACTTCAGTTGCAGGGTCCATCCCTGGCCTCAAAAGGGGCACTTTAGAAGGCAACCAATCAATGTGTCTCTCTCACATAGATGTTTCTCTCTGTGTGTCTCTCCCCTCCCTTCCACTCTCTCTAAAAATCAATGGGGAGTAAAAAGTATCCTTGGGTGAGGATTAACAAAATAAAAAAGGATACAGTATACCAAATTCAATGGCTTCAGGGAGGCACGCAGATTCACGAGATGTTGCTCACAGTCTAAGGCGGTGCTCCCTGGTGGCTTGCATGTGTGGCGAGGCTCCTTGCTTCAGGAGACGGTGGAAGGATCTGATGTAGGCTTCAGGAGCCTCGTTCTCTCCTGTTGTCTTTCTTCCTTTATTTGAGAAGCTTTTCCTTGAGATTTTGGTCCCCTTTTATGGTGACACAAGTGAGTTCGTTTGTTCCATCATTCCTTCTTCCCTCCCTCTATTCCAGTGGCTCTCAACCTTCCTAATGCAGTTCCTCATGTTGTGGTGACCCCCAATTTCATTGTTACAAATTGAACATAATTAAAGCATAGTGATTAATCACAAAAACAATATGTAATTATACATGTGTTTTCCGATGGTCTTAGGCGACGCAGGTGAAAGAAAGGGTCGTTCGACCCCCAAAGGGGTCGTGACCCACAGGTTGAGAACCACTGCTCTATTCCATCCTTCCACAATCCTCTCCCCCCTCCCCCCGCAAAAAATGATTGAAGAGTGCTAGGACCTAGGGATCCAGTGTTAAAATATGAAAAATGTTGTCCTTGTGCTCATGGAGCTTACAGTCTATCAAGAAAATCAGTAGTTAATATTCAGCATAATGGTGAATTGTATACATAAAATGTCCAAGGAGAAATGCAAAATGCAATCAGAGCATGTAACTGGCAGATCTAACTTTTCTGGGGAAGTCCAGCAGGACTTCCTGGGGGAAGGTGTGTTTAAGCTGAGACCTGAGAAGAAGGTGGGATTAGGAAGAAGTCCATCTCTAGAGGGAACCAAATACGTGAAGACATATTCTATTCCAATAGCACATCATTACCTGCAGCCAGTTATTTATATGCCTGTGATTTCCACTAAATTGTGAAATCCTTAGAGGCAGGGAGCAGATCATACCCACCTCTCATTTCCAGAAGTGTGTTTCGTCACTAAAGCTCCAGAAATGATGGAACAGTAGCTTCTTCCAAATTGACAGGGTGTACCTTAGAGATCTCTTTTGTTTGTTTGTTTTGTTTTGTTCTTTTGGTAAGGGTTTTTGTTTTGTTTAACACATCTGAAAAGAATGCATATACAAAGAACTAAGATATGAGAAGCATTGGTTCAACACTAATGAATCGACAAGAATGAGGACTCGGGCACGGTGGAGAAGATTACCTAAACATTTTTAAATATTGAAAACTGAAACCAAAAGAAATTGATAAAATCCCTGTTAACACTTACGCAGTGTCTTCAGAAGACGCTCTAGTGGTTTTTATTAACTAGAGAGCTTTGATTGGCTGCTCTTGACTTCCTCATGCAAAACAGAAATAAGGGATTCCCCTAGTTGGTCCCCATGCTCTTAAATATTCTCTCCTTCCCCACTCCACCCTAGCTTCTTAACAAAGCAGGTCTCCATCCTCATAACTTGAAAGAGGATGTGAATTACCCTGGCCAGGTGACTCAATTAGTTGAAGCATCGTCCCATACACCAAAAGGTTGTGGGTACAATCCTTGGTTGGGGCGTGTGCTGGAGGCAACTGATTAATGTTTCTCTTTCACATTGATCTTTCTCTTTCTCTCCCTTCCTCTCTCTCTCTCTCTCTCTCTCTCTCTCTCTCTCAAATTAATAAACATATCCTCAGGTAAGGATAAAAACATTTTTAAAAAGAAAGAGAGAGGATGTGAATCATTCCACAGACATCTCTCTCCTAGCACCACCCCTCATACATACCAGGTCTTCAGCTGTCTTTAGGATCATTGTATTATACACTATTAAGCTGCACATCTATGCTAGGCAACCTAATAAGACAATGACTGACGGGGGGGGGGGGATGGTTTTTACGTACTCAATCTATTTGGTATATTTCAAAAGGTGCAATACTTTTCATTTATCAGCAAAAGAAGTTAGAAATTAACTTTCAAAAATCATCAAATGGCTAACAAATTTCCTTGAAAGTCACAGTCACATATACAGTGCATTCTGGGAAAGAGAAGGGGTAAGACAGGCTCCACCCACTCCTGAGTTTCCTCAAATACTGGACCTACTCAATGGTGGAGAGAAGAGGTGACTTTCAAGGAGCATGTTATATTCAGTGAGGCATTTACTATACTCCTTCCTCAGAGCACCAGGTGGGGAACATGTTTTCTAAACTAGATGTAAGAAGTGGAATATGGAATCACTTCATGCTCCCCCTGCTTAAGGACTGCCCAAAGGATAATGAAGTTTTAAAAATGACTAAATAAAACAACTCTGCCCCCAAAAAAGAAAAACAAAACAAAACTCCCAGATTACTCTCCAGAATGGAACCAGGGAGCAGCTTCAACAACCCGAAGTGGTCTGTTCCGCTTCGTCACAGGCATGCCTTGCTTTTAAACAACAACATTGTTTTGAAACAAAATAAAAACTAGTACTGACCACTTTTCTGACCATGCACAATTACTCAAAACTAACTGGTACTGAGAAGGGGGAAGGGCCCTGCCTATGGGCCTTGTCTCACACGAGGGCATGTGGGCGGGTGCAGGGCAATCGTCCCTATTGCAGAAATGAACTTTTCATTTGTAATTCTTGGTTTGATTTAAACATTTGCTTTTAATATGATGCTAATAGCAGCTGTGCAGAAAGGGTGCTGGAGAGCTATTCATAGTAGCACACACTTCAGTTCTGGAGGCTCTAGGGCACTCATAATACCGTCACCAGCCAGCTTTTGGGCAGTCTCTGGGGTGATGGGCTTTAAAAAAAAAAATTGTTGACAGTATTACAGATGTCTCCCATTTTCTCCCTTTTTGCCCCCCTCCACTCAACCCTTGCCCCACCCCAGACCTTCCCATACTATTTGTTGTCTGTGTCCATGGGTTATGCATGTATGCATATATATGTTCTTTGGTTAATCTCTTCCTGTCCTCCCACCCCACCCCCCACTGAGATCTGTTATTCTGTCCTGTGCACACATACCTCTGGATATATTTTGTTTGTCAGTTTATTTTGTTCATGAGATTCCACATGTAAGTGAGATCGTGTGATACTTGTCTTTCTCTGACTGGCTTATTTCACTTAGCATAATAGTCTCCAGATCCATCCATGCTGTCTCAAAGGGTAAGAGCTCCTTTTTTACAGCATAGTATTCCATGGTAGAAATGTACCGCAGCTTTTTTGTCCACTTGTCTACTGATGGGCACTTTGGCCAGTTTCCAGATCTTAGCTATTGTAAATTGTGCTGCTATGAACATAGGTCTGCATATATTCTTTCTGATTGGTGTTTCAGGATTCTTAGGATAGAATCCTGGAAGTGGGATTACTGGGTCAAACGGCAGTTCCACTTTTAATTTTTTGTGGAACCGCCATACTATTTTCTACAGTGGCTGCACCAGTCTGCATTCCCACCAGTGATGTACTGGGGTTCCCTTTTCTCCACATCCTCTCCAACATTTGTTTGTTGATTTATTGATGGCAGCCAGCCTGGCAGGTGTCTGTTTGTCCTTGGGAAATGGCAAGTTTCTCAATAGTAGAGGGTTCCGTGACTGAGGGAGCCGTTGGCGTGGTGGTTGGTGGTCGCCGGTGCTGGCCCGGCCTCCGGCCAGGAAGGCCAAGAGGGTTTGAGCATGAACATGGCAGAAGGCAACACCCTGATATCGGTGGATTATGAGGTTTTGGGAAAGGTGCAAGGGGTGTTTTTCCGCAAGTACACTCAGGCTGAAAGTAAAAGCCTGGGATTGGTAGGCTGGGTCCAGAATACAGTGCAAGGACAATTGCAAGGTCCCATCTCCAAGGTGCGTCATATGCAGGAATGGCTTGACACAAAAGGAAGTCCCAAATCGCACATTAACGGAGCAAACTTCAACAATGAGAAAGTCAACTTAAAGTTGGATTACTCAGATTTCCAAATTGTAAAATAATGCCCTGAATTCAAATTTTCTCAGAGAAACTCAGAGGTTTTGCTTTTCTTGTTAATAGAGATAGAATTATTCTGAATAATATTAGAATTTGTCAGTGAGTTATTTTAGTTTCAGACACCTGAATGTTACTGTATATAATATGTATGATGGAAGGAATGGTTACAACTGTACACAATTCTCATAAAAACACATCAGAACAAAGAAAATAGTAGAGGAGTCATCTCTGAGATCAGTTTGGCTCTCAGCAGCAAGAAAGGAGTCTTTGGACAGAGGTGAGTCATCTCAGGCACCCTCTATCATTTCCATTTTCAAATGAGGATGGAGAGACCACTGAAAAACTAATCTGTTTCTAATCTGAAACACATCTGTTTGTGGATAACTCTGCATTTGTAATTGTTGGGGTTCAACCCCAGCAGATCCAGGGGTTCCCAAAGGCGTGGACAGAGTCAGTGGAGACTATCCACCCTCTTCCTATGGTACAGTCCTATCCGTCCCGAGAGTGGGGCTTACCTAGGGGAATGGGGGGCTTACCTAAGAGTCCCTGTTCGGGTGCCATCTGTTGGGATCCATCCCCAGCAGGTCCAGGGGTTCCCAAAGGTGTGAATGGAGTCAGCAAAGAAGGAATGACATGGAGGCAGCATTCAGTTGATCATCATAGCCAGGATCACTGAAGGAGGTCATTCCAAGCAAAGATCAAAGCGACCAACCACCCCTCTGGGGAAACAACCTTTCTCAGGGAGGTGGTCCTGTTTAAAACACATAGCGCTAAGAAGGGGAGCAAACATATTAAGAACAGTATGCCATATACGCCAGGTCCCTTGAAACATAAGCTGTGCAGATGTTTCTTCCCTGCAGTGACTGTGTCAAGCAGCAAGGGTGGACTGGCTTCTGGCATGTAATCTGTCACAATCCTCTTGCCCTGCGGTATCAAAAAGTCCAAGATGACTCTCCATCGATCTTAACTATGACTGCACAAGTGTCAGAAACAGTCAGTAGACACTCAAATGGAAATTTGTTGTGTAGGTAACCAGGAGGTGTGTTTTACCAATGGCACCATCGCCCACAATAGTGCACTTAATCGTCTGCATTGCTGAACAGTTTTCCATCCCCTTTAAATAAAAAGACCCAATGATGACCTCAGCTTCTCCCTAGAGATCTTCTTATTGCTCCCTTTGCCGGATAGAGACACCTCCTTTCTCGGTATAACTCACTTTAGAAGAAAGTTTGAAGCTAAAACTGTGTTTTCTGGGAGGAGGAGGAAAAACCCATGCTAGATTCTAATCATTTTCCAGTTTTTAATGTGTCGTCTAGACTTTGAAGAGGGTTTTGGGAGCCATTCCCGTTTTCCCACACAGTGTCTTCTCTCCCTTTGCCAGGGTTCGTGTGAGCCAGGACGGGCAGTTTCTGCACTACATCTTTCCTTACCAGTTCATGGACTCTCCTGAGTGGGAATCACTGCCGCCCTCCGAGGAGGGCGTGTTCCAGGTAATAGGGAGCCCCATGGCAGTACCGCCCCCGCTCATCCCACTGTGACCCAGCAATTACCACCACCACCACCACTCCCATCTCTCCCCTCTGACATCTGTCCTTGGAAGCACCGCCAATGTGATGTGAGGGGAGGAGCACTCTCCTCCTCTGGGAAGAGTACCTGGGCTCCTGGAAGAGCTGGGGGGAGAGGGGCGGGATAGGGAGATGCTGACCCCCGATAGGTGGGCCATGTCACTCTTGTGCCTAAATCCTTCCAGAAGGCTCCAGTGGCCACAATATCAGAACCCATACTTCTTAGAGAGTAACTTAAGACCTTTAGAGGCATCCGGAGGAGGAAGAAGATGGCGGCGATATAGGCAGACGCGTCCCAGGTGCAAATGGAGTGAGCAGCTGAAACTAATAGCACCCACCCTGAATTGGTGAATTTGCTCAGCTGGTGAGACAGTTTGCAGCCGGGAAGGGCAGAACTCCCTTGGAAAGGTAAAAAAAAAAAACCGGGGATTTGGGCAGGAAAGTTTGCCGGACCTCTGAGCCCAGAGGGTCGGAGGGAGACCTCGTGGCAGACAGCCGCGTGCCTTGGGACAGGCACAGCCCCTGACTGGGGAAAGGCGATCCGCGGGATTCCTGGCGCCGGGGGATTTGAGAGCTGGGTTCTGTGAGCACGGAGGACTGAGCCTAAAAGGGGCAGCCTGAAGAGCTGATCTGACTATGCAGTGCCCATAATTGAAGAGTTTACAGAAACCAAGCCTTCCCCGTTTCCGTGGCCGGCGTTTGTTTGTTTATTCTCGCCGAATCCTGTTCATGGGACCATTCGGATACAGACACTCACCTGCGCTGAACAGAGGGAGTGGGTGCAGAGGAGTGGAATCTGGGGAGAGACTGAGGAGAGAAGGGGGGCCAGGAGAGGTGGAAGTGAATTGAGGGCTGAGACGCCCCTTAGCCCAGGGCTG